TCAGCAAGTTCTGAGGATGTAAAGTGCATGCTTCTCTCTTTTGTTTATTACAGGCTTCACTTTTCTCTTGTCAATCTGTGTCCTGCAAGGAGAATGCTTTCTAAACCCATGATTTTTCTTATCTAGTAGTATTTACACAGCAATGTAAGTACATTTAAAAAATTGAAAAGACCTGTCCATATAATTTCAGCCTTGAAACTATTGCCAGTGCATTGAAATACCAAGGCTTCAGTTCAGGTTTAAGCTTTTTTTTACCATTTAAACCATGGGTAGGAATTGTGCAACCCCCGTGATATTGTTGGACTATAAGTCCCAGCATTCCTCATCATTGTTGAGGGGTTGATGGGAGCTTCAATCATAGGTTATCTAGAAAGCGATATGGTATTTGTCGCTGCTTTTGATAACGTCTTTCAGTCTGTATTCCAAGGTTTGTCAAAGGTTCCTCAATGGAAACCTTAGCAATGGTAGAAAAGTATCTCTGAAAGCTGATCAGCCTACCACTTCTTATCCTCACTGTATTTAAAAAATAGATATTGTAGAACTAGAAAATACGTAGAAAAGAACAACCATAATGATCAAGGGAAGAGAATAACTACTTTTCAAGGAAAGGTATCAGGATTTGGGGCTGTTTAGTGTTAAAAAGGCAAGTAAGGGGAGACAGTAAGTGTATACAACTATGCAAAGACAATCTGATGAAATAGACTTCAGTCTATGGAAACTTAATTCAACCAAGGCTTATTCTTTCTCTAGGTTAGTCTCAATGATGCTACAAGATGCCTTTGTATGCATAGTGAAGAGAAAGTAGATGAGGAGAAGCTTTAATCATACTTGGTTGTGCAGGTATGTCTTGAACAAAAACAGTGATTTGGAATCTAAATTTCAGTTAGCAGTGCGTCTCTTCTAACTAAATGCCAGAAGGGTTTCCTGATTATAGAAAATTGGGGGGAAATCAGCATTGCAGTTATGGTATGCCTTCATTTCTGAAGAATTATATCTAGTACAGGTATCTTTATGTGATGACCACTTTGTTTTAGATTAACTACAACGAATTACTTTTTAATCATTTAAATAGTGCTATTTGCCTCTCTGGTTGAAGAAATGTAAAAGTAATGAAGCAAAGAATGTTAAGTTACAGGTTGAATCTCCCTTATCCAAAATGCTTGTGACCAAAAGTGTTTTGAATTTCAATTTTTTTTTTGGTTGGATTTTGGGATATGTGCATATACATAATGAGATATATTGCAGTCTAAACATAAAACTCATTTCTGTTTCATATACACCTGATACACATATCCTGAAGGTAATTTTATATGTAATATTTTATCAGTTTTGTGCATGAAACAAAGTTTGTGCACACGGAATTATAAGAAAGCAAGGATGTCACTATCTCAGCCACCCATGTGGACAATTTTGGATTTTGGAATTCCAGATAAGGGAGACTCAACCTGTAACTAAATTCAGATGTTGGTTTCTGTTAGAGTATATTGAGTTATGGGAATTACATGACTTTTCAGCTATCCATTAATTCTGTAATTCTGCCCTGGTAGGAAGTAAACATTGGATTTAGGTCCATGTTTTAAGCTCAACAGGTTTTCTTTCATTAAGCTATGGCTGTATAATCCTTCCTTAAAGAATTACACATTTCTTTCTCTCTGAATTCTGCAGTTTCATTTTCCCTTTTATCTGCGGCTCATCCCACCACTTTTATTTAAGGTGATAAAGTTGCCTCAGTGCAACTGCTATCATCACCTCTGCCCTCAGCTAATCAAATACTTTAGCTGGAGGGAAGCATTTATCTCCCACTTTCATTATTATTATTTTTGTAGCTGTAAAGATATATATATATATATATATATATATATCAGGAGGAGGCTGTAACGGTGAAACGAGGTATTGATCTGCTGTATTTGGCAATTTCTTTCTACCTTGCCATCGATATCATGTCAGCCTCTGACTGTACTGTGGTTGACCTCACAAATAGCTCTTTATGTTCCCATTGGATTCAAATGATATACTATGCTGAAAACTAAATCAATGAATGATTATAAAGTTTTGAGTATTATTTCATGACCCTGAGGCAATTGGTGCTCCATGCACTGAATACTTGAAATGATGCCTCGTGTGATAAAGTAGATGCTGCTATTTTTTGGAAGAACCTGGTCTAGTTCACAACCGAGGTGCATACAGTTTGGGTCATACTGCTTTAGAGCGTGGAGTGGGGAGGGATTTTGCTTGACAGGGGCTACATACGCACTACAGAAATAATCCAGTTTGACACCACTTTAACTGCCATCATTCAATATTATGGAATTCTGAGAATTGTAGTCTGTTGTAGCACCAGAGCTCTATGCGAGAGAAGGCTAAATATCTCACAAAACTACAATTCTCAGAATTCCGTAGCATTGAGCCATGGCACTTAAAGTGGTGTCAAACTGGATTATTTCTTCAGTGTGTATGCAGCCTTATTGCCGCTGTCTGTATAATCATATATGTTTTAAAATCAGCATGCCAAGCGGAAGGATGGCTAGAATTTGGTTCCCTGGTATTTAGTTTTCTGTAAACCAGATCCAAGATGCAGTTGGTGCAGTGTAAAGCTGCACAGACAGATCGCACCTCCTTCCTTCTCTCTGTGTAGAATCCACCTCTCTCCTGTTGTCCTTCATGGACAGTCCTCAATGGCTGGAGATGACAGGTGCAGCCATGCAGTATTCAACTGTGTTCCTCAGGCTGGACTCAGAAAGATGATTTTATTCTCCCAGTTCTCTCAAGCATCCTTGGGAGGTTCCAGAGGCTGCTTTCTTCATTGGGTGGCCAGCTGAACAGTGAGTCATTGTGTAAAGGAAGGAGTGGATACTGTCTTCCTTGATGAGCACTAAAAGACATACACAGGCATAATTTGACATTAGAGTTGTTTCTCACCAATAGGATTCCAACCCATGTGATTCTTATGCCAGCTAACCATGTTCTCATTGTCCTGCTCTCACACACTGCAACAGAACACAGAATGCCAAAAGTGCAGTTGCCAAATGAAAAAGCGGTGTCCGATAACAGTCTGGAGTCAGAAGCTGTATATTAACACAGCGTCCTAGTAGGAGTAGCAAGAGATTGCAGTCAAGGAACAGTCCAGGGTTGTAAATCACAGGGTCATACCTTGCAAAAGATGCAGGTTGGAAGAAAAACCAAGTTTGCTCCCAGCAAACCAAATGGAGAAAGGCCCCTGACTTATAACACCAGCTGACACAGCCCCACACAACAAACTGTATTTCAAGAGGTAGTTTCCCAGCTACATCCATGCAGCATCTCACTTTGCCTGCAGGGGAGTTAGTGGGTTTGTGCCAAACACTAATTTTTTTGCCTTTCCCAAGAACTTGGAGTTTTCTTACCTGCCTCCTCTGGACAACTCAGGTAGCTGTCAGATTGAGCTGGAGGAAGGCATGGCAGTGGTAAGTCTCTTTTGTCTTCTAGGCTGAACTGTTAATGGGGGAGGGCATGACATTCATCAAGATTACTCCAGTCTGCCCCACCACACCACAAATTTGCATTTTTCTCTTCCAAATTTCCAAGATTTTGTGCCGGAGGGAGGATGCTCAATACTCCTTGGGTTGCTTTTAGGTTTTTAAGAATGTACAAGAAGTCAGGATGAACTAGGCACAAACCCTATCTAGTCTATTCTTCACACATTAGCCAGCCAAATACCTATAGGAAACCTACCAACAGGACAAGCACTAAGCCCTCTGTCCCACATTCCCCAGTAATTGATTCACAGAGGCATGCAACCTCTGGTACTGGAGCAGAAACGTGAGTTTTGGCTAGTAAGCCTCCCCGGTAGCTGTAGCCCATGAATTTATCAACCTGCCTTTTAAAACCATCCTAGCTGACTGCCATTGCTTTTTGTGTTGCATCTTGTGGCAGTGAATCCCTCAGTTTAGCTGTCTACATGCCTCTTATCTGTCCTTAATGTCCCACCTTTGAGCCTCGGGATGATCCCACAGTTTTTTGGTCTTAGGAAAGATGGACATTAAGTATCAGAGGCTGAAGAATACCAGCAACACAGGGAAAAAATAACTAGTCATGTAACTTTGTTAGCATTTTCACTCCCTCATCCATTTCTTTCTTCACCATATTCATAGTCATGGTAGATGTGCTATTTATTTGAAAGTTCAAGGTTTTATGTGCTTTCCAAAATTGAGTGCCTGGCGTATTTTGGATGGAGTTAGATTAGCATTGGATGTGTTAACGTTCATCTAATAAACAAGATACCCTCCCCACCCGCCTTGAAGTATTTTATATGTTAATGCAGCCAAAGCTAAATGAGTTCACATCACTTACATTTAAATAACAAACATACAGATCATGGGTAGCAACTGGTTTTAAAATAATGTAGGTATGTATTATGCCAAATAACATTGCTTTGTGTTTGATCATCTGCTGGAAATTGTAACTCTTTTGAAGAGGTATTTTGAAATAAATGGTTAAATATTGCCAACGACCAAATAGCTAATTTAAATGAATTTTTAAAACAAAACAGCGTACTGCAAAACATTGTTCTATTTCTGTAACAAATAAGGCTGTCTTCTGATTGTAACATGCACACTTGCCACATCTTGGTACCAAATATTTGTATTGGCTGGGTTTATCTCAGGCTGTATCTGCACTTCAGAATTAATGCAGTTTGACACCACTTTTACTGCCATGGCCGAATGCTATGGAATCTTGGGATTTGTAGTTTTGTGATATATTTAGTCTTCTCTGTCAGAGGGCTCTCGTGCCACAACAAACTACAAATCCCAAGATTCCATTGCTTTGAGCCATGACAGTTAAAGTGATGTCAAGCTATATTATTTTTGCAGTGAAAATGCAGCCTCACTGGAGCATACCTGTGTGTTGTGTGCCTTCAAGTCATTTCCGATTTACGGCAAGTTTTCTTGGCAAGATTTCTTTAGAGGAAGTTTGCATTCCCTTGAGGCTGAGAGTGTGTGACTCATCCAAAGTCACTCCATGGCCAAGCAGGGGCTCAAACCCGGGTCTCCAGAGTCATAGTCCAACACTCAACCTACTATGCCACGCTGGCTCTTTTTGAGCTACCTACCTGTAACAGTCTAGTTGTTCTCATAATGATGATGACCAGAAATGCAGATTTTTTTGCTACTAGTTGTGGTAGCTTATCCTTTAGAAAACGAGTAATGACGTTTAATGAGAAAGTTTTCTGCCCCCTTTCATTGCATTCAAAAGAGAGGCTTAAGTAATACCCCCTCAGAAAAAATAAAATAAAATAAAACAAAATTCAGCTGTCAAAGGACTCTGCTTAACCGTATACTTTGCATGCATTTATAATCTGAATTTTTGTGGAGGGGTGGTGGTGGTGGTGGTGAAGGGAATACACAGGCCCACTAGAGATGGACAGCTTGAATGGCATCCTGTCAGTTGGGTAGCTCATGAATTGGCAGTGGTCTCATTTAGGACCTTTGGATATGTGTCTGCCTGGACAGAATGAAAACGCTTTGCATGTTCTTCCAGAGACAACCACTCCTTGCTGCTTCGCGGCATCCAGCGGAGCATGACAGTTGCCCTTCATTGCTGTCTTCTCCGAGCTTAACCTCTGACCCTCCGCTTAGTCGCCCTGCAACGGTTGGAGCAGGCCGAGATGTTCACGAATTGACGGGCATCGGCCTGCAACGTGCTTGTCATCATTGGACTGTCAAAAGTAGCTTGCCATTGAGCCTCCATCAAGGTTTGAAACCTCTGTGCAGCGGCCCATAGTACTTAACTCCTAAGGCTGTCAACGGGATGACCAAATGTGCATAGAAAAAGAGGCACACTGAATATATCTTCTATCAGATCTCTCTCTCTCTTTCTTTCTTCCCCCCCCCCCCCTTCTTTCATTGCAGATCTGCTTGCTAAATGTATTCAGATGACTTTCTCCAGGCCAATAGGATAAATCTGGTGCCAGGGCAGTATTTTTCTTTTCGTTTCCTTTTTCTTAAAAAAAAGAAGTGGTGCAGGGAGCACTGAACGGTTTTTCTGTTGTGGTCTCAGTTTCAAATAGCACGAGATTGAGATTTGAATTGCTCTGCCAGTGAAATTCTCAGCTTGACTTGCCTGTCCTATCAACTTTCCAGCCCTCGGTATAAGTAGCGAGATACCAGACCAGTGGTGCCTGAGGTTAGCTGTCAAAGAGGAATGTTCATTTTGGAGCACTTTTGTAATGTGATATTAGAGGCGTAAAGAGAAAGAGAGAAATGGTTCAAGCTCTTGCGATTTGTAAAGTCCCGCAGTGAAAATGTAAAATGGTAGAAGGATAGTTTTGTTTCAAGTACAGCATCCTTCATGGTTTTTCCTTTTCTTTCTTCTCATCTCTGTTTAGGTTACTTTCAGAACTGAAAATGGGATTAAATTGGTCCAGGCAGGCTTTTAAAAGAAATGCAGAATGCAATGGTTAGCAATGATTAAATTCTTAGAATGAAGGATCTGATGTCGTCTATGTACAATCTGCCTTTCAGGCATTCAGAATCATAGATGCAATATAAATTGAGAGTTTTTAAAAGAAGAGGAATTATTTGAAAAGCTGACAAGTAGAAGAATATGAAATGGGTAAATAGCTTGGTGAAACGATTAAAAAATAAGCTTTTGCAGCCCATTGAAAAATTGTGAGAGACAGGAGCACTCAGACTTCTTGAAGTAGGCATACAGTCTGGTGCTGTGACCAAAAAGGCCCTGTCTCAGTATCAAATATAAAAATTGCAGATGTCAGACATTGTCTTAGAAGAAATGTTTCCAGTTCTTTTTTATACCATGTATAGTGAGATACTTCTTCTAAGATGAGATCTGTTGGTGTACATCCCTGTGTCATTTGAAGCTTCAGGATTATTGTTTTATGCATGCCTTTTTACTCTGGAGGAGCCCTTGAAGCAATTTTTAAAGTTGCAGGGAACTTCTATATAAAAGTTATATCTTCCACTTAAAAAAGTTTTTTTCCCCCAATCAGAATTTATAACAGAATCCGAGGGTTCCTGGTACCAGAGCTGAGAAACCCTGTTTGAACACATGCAGGTTTGTTAACAACAACAACTACTACTACTACCACCACCATGCCACTTTAATCCCATTTTTCCAGCCCCTCAAACTGCAGATCCCAATTTTTGGTGGTGAAAAACCCCAAGCAAATTAGCTCAAAACCAGCAGTGAGTTTCCTTGTCATCTCTCCAAACTCAAATCAGAATAGTGAATCTGGAGGTTGCAAATGAAAGATTCTTTTGATTGTAAAAAAATGACTGATATGGGGATAGTTTGGGGGTGCATTTGGTGCTGTTGCACCCCCAAACTTTTGCACTGTAAAAAACTAAAATGTAGCAAATTGGTGTCAGTCCTGTCTATTTATGTCTTGTTGTTCCTCCAGTTCAGAGTGGTTTACATATCAATTTTTCTTTTCATTACAGTTGTCAGAGAAGCTTAGGCTGAGTCAGACAGAGCAGTTGCCCCAAGGTTCCTCATGGAATTTGAATCTGGATCTTTCTGGTCTAAGTTTAACACTCACCATAAAAACATCCAGATGCTATCAGACTCCAATACCCATCATCTGCCAGCCATACTGATGATAAAGGATGATGCAAATATAGCTCATCAACAACTGGAGAACGCCAGGAGATCTACAAGCTCCTACCTGCAGTGGAGTATGTTAGTAGCACAGTTTTGAAAATAATAAAATTATATGTTAGTAGCTAACATGGCTTTATCTTAATGAAGGGTTAGTTGGAGCATATTTAGACCATTAAATTTAAAAGAAAAAGAAGATATCTGCTAGGGTTCAGAACTGTACATGCTGAAGAACATGATGACAGCCTTTCTGTGCTATGTGCTATCAAGTGAATGGCACTGAACAAGCTGGGAAAATGCACACACACAAACATATATGCATAAATGAAATTTGCTTTGAGGACATGCATCTAGGCATGATTGGCCAAGAGTCATTCCAGTCAGTGTTGGTTTTGCAACTCAGTATAATTTTGTGGTCATTAGAAATGTAGACAAAAAGAGAGGCATACAAGAAAGGAACAGCCTAATGTAAATTGGATGGAACATGTTGGTGTTGGTCCTTTAAAAATATTTTCCCTGCTCAACCACAAGTTGTAAACTTTGTCTGTTCTTTGTTGGCTTGTGTTGTATGGTGTGATGTCGAATGAGATCTGACTCCTGTTCAGTGGTTACACAGAATAAAATTACACCAGTGTAGCTATGCTGGAATTACTGAATTATACTGTCGCAGAAGCAGTTCCTCTGTTGTTCAACAGTCAATCCAAAAGATCACCCATCATGAAGAACACTTATGGAGCCTTGTAGGCAATGTAGCCACTTACACAACTTTAAATCCCACTTTAAATCCCAAACTGGAAAAAGGCAGGATGGTGATGCCGACAACGACAACAACAACAGTAGATAGCAGCCTCCTTGTTTCTAAAATCATCTGGAATGCCACACATTCCCTATCCATGTTGTATGTCTACTGGAGTTTTATGATGGAATAAAGGTAGGGTGGAAATATATGGAGGGCAATTATTCTGATAATAATCATAAGAAAGTATTTTGGGATATACAGAACCATAGTGGCAAACGTTTATCCTTGCCTAGAATAATTTTTAAGCTGTGTCTGGTTTTTTTTTTTAATTTTTTTATATGTAATGAAAGTATAATAGTGATGCTTGATTCACAACATTTGCCAGTTTCCCTCAGACATTGCTCAATCTTCCATCTGTTTCTCTCTTCAGGAAGACATCAGTCCCACCCAGCCATTTCTGTGAGGTCAAAGACACATAATACTGTATGGTGCCTCTAGCACCAAACCAAAGGTGATGTCTTAGGGGAAGCATTTGGTTGTCAGCTACACTGTCACTGCTCTACAAATGTTAGCATGTTAAAAAGGCTATGACCTTTGTCATGCCAATTTCCAAGTGCACAAATCTTTGCTTCTCCCTTGGATTTAATGAAATAACAATAAAGTGTCTGCATTAGGTAAAATGCATCATAAGACACCTTAAGGGCACTCAGTTCTTATTGTGTATTTTCTTTTTTAAGTAGCTGGGGTGTCATCATGTACTAAAAGCAGACGATCTGTTCTCCTCTTTGATAAAAATAAAATGACCTGTCTACTGTGAATCATGATAGAGCAGATCAGGGCAGATTATATTGCTGCCTTAAAAAAGAAGTATTGGTGTGTATATAAAATAAAATAATAATAGAAAGGCCAGAAATGTTTCTATTTAGTACAGAGGTATTTCACATTTTTGCCTGCAGATAAAATATACTCAGAGGTGAGAAGTAAGAAATTGACTTAGCGATACTGAAAGTGGCTTTGGATAAAATAAGATTTGGAGGGGAAGCACCAGTGATTTTTCATTGTGTGAATTCTTGCTATCAAAAGACATACAGTGTAAGCTGAGAGATGTGTGAATTCTTGCTATCAAAAGACATACAGTGTAAGCTGAGAGATTCCATCAATTGACCTTGGAAGTACAAGGTTCAAGTTCTCCATTTAACCCTGCTTTTCCCTGGGTTTGGGCCTGTTTTGAACAAGCTATCCAATATCATTTGAGAAAAGAGTGGAGGCTCTTGAATTGGTTAGGTATGTAGAGTTGTGCAGTTTAATTTTGAGAAGCCTTTGGTGTTTTTTTATGCAGATGCAAACAAAGAATAAGGGCAGGGATATATCCTGTCTGGAGGGGCAGTCTGTGTGGGTCTGGACTCCTCAGATGTATATAGACTTATCTCCTCTACATTTCTATATGGTATATGTATATATTCAGCCAGTGTGGTGTGGTTGGACTACAACTCGAGATTAGGGTTTGAGTCTCTGCTTGGCCATGGAAATCCACAGGGTGACCTTGGGCAAGTCATATACTCTCAGCCCCAGAAACCTCTGTGATAGATTTGCCTTAAGGTCACCATAAGTTGGAAATAACTTAAGGCACACAACAACAACAACATCAATGTATTTATGCAGTGTGCAAGGCCCTGCATTTACTATGTGTACAGCCAAAAATAAGTCCCTCTACTCCAGGGGTGTGGGAATTGTGGCTT